TGCTGGGATAAAACCCTGTGTCCTTAGGCTTCCTGGAGAACTAGCACAGGTAATTGTATTCTTTTGAGCTCTGTTAAAGAGGCAGTGAAGCCATGGTGGGCTATCAGCCTCTGACCATCCAAACAAGGTTCCTCATTTTCCTCAGACAAAGGGGACAGAAGCTTTTTGGAGGTGTACCACATTTAGTAGCATGGCCAAATAGCTGTTACTTGCTGAAGATTTTGACAGCTACCACCTTGTAAATGCAAAGGGAAAGAGAGCTTGAAATCACCCTCTGGCTGTATGGGCACAGATATTATATATATATAGAATATATATATTATTATTATTATATCATTACTCTGGGAAACCTCCAGATAAAAATAGACACGAGCTTGTAGTCCTTCAGATATATCTATCCATTATTTTTATATCCCCTCTTCTTCATAGTTTTTGTAATAACTGTTGCAATCCCACTGTGAAACTAGTAAATTCACAAGATGACAAATATAGTCACTGTAGAGTCACATAAAATGCTGTCTATGTAAAAAAAAAAAAATAGTCTTTTTACTATGGGGCATGAAACAAACATAAAAGATTGATTGTTTTTATAAAGAAGTAATGCACTTTGGAGTTAATAACCACTAATAATCAGGATTAGACATTTCATGCAATGCTTGTCTCCCATCTTTTGACATTTCTCAAAAGCCTAAATTTTTTAGCAGTCTTTAAAATTACTGATTTCACAAGCTGCCTGCAAAACATCCCCACTGAAAAAAAAAAGAAATATGACTTTGTCAAATTTTAGAGGAAACTAGAGGCAATCGAAGGAAAAGCTTAATCTTAAAGTGGATTTCTAAATTTCATCTGGAAGGATGATTGATGTGCTTTCCCCTCCCACACTGCTATAACTTTAATCTCACCTAGAGGAAAGAGAAAGGGAGCAATCTGACACTTAGCCCACTCAGCTCTGCTTTCCAGACTGCAGCTGGGAGATAAGGAAGCAATGGAGGCACTGCTTCCTCTCATCCCTGGATATTTGGGATGCTCTCTGTGGGAGGATAGAGACCAATTACCCTTTGGAGTTCATCCTCCAAGTGTTAATAATTTAGCTAATTCCTATATCTTATTCATTATAAGTATGTGTTGAAAAGCACTCATTATCAAAATTGACTAAAAATCCCTCTGATCTCATCAGCTGGCCTTTGCTAGTATTTCCCTGTTCTCCCTGCAGTTTGTGCTTCCTAGACCAACTGCTCCTTGTGGACAGAAACTGCTAAGCTCCTCTTCACAGCTCTCAAGTCCAAACCCGTCTTCGCTGGTTAAATGGCATCTGCTTTGCCGCATGTGCCTCAACAGCACATATGGAACAACTATAACCTGCTTCCTGAGGAAGGTTTCTCCATGTGGAAAAGGCTTCTGTGTTCACTGCTGAACCTTATGCTGGTCAAAATGGCCAGATTAGCAAAAGCATAATTTAAACCATTTAAGAGTTACTGATCTCATTTTGCTTTATACAGGCCAGCGAACACACACATCTTAGCTAAGGTGCCAGCTGCTCCATCAAACTGAGGCTGACTGACAGCTTCTGCAAACAAGCCATGGCACAGGTAGCATAAGATATACTTAGTACACTCATTAGTACATTTCATATAATTCTCATCAAAGCTAAGAGGTCAGCATCCACGGTGAGAGGCTTAAGTACACATAAAGGCTCAAAACAGCCATCCTTGACAGGATGTCAGAGTGTGGGGAACAGCGCTTTTGTCTGAGAACTTTGGCACAGCACTGTGCTCAGTAGTAATGCTGTCTCCCACAAAAGCTACTTCAGATAGGAACAATTACAGTGAAGAGCTGGATGAAGGAAAGCTGGCTTACATTCTGCGTAGGAACCTGTCACCAGTCATAGGACCTAAGCTCATGGGAGATCATGGACAAAGAAGCAAGTGTCATGTCCTTGAGTGAAGTCTGGAAACAATACAAGGACCAAATTGACATGTTCATAATGAGGATATGAATCATTTCCTTCCCCTTGACCACTGACTAAGTTATGAAGTTGGAAATATAGTCCATTAGGCATTACTCTTGTCCTCCATACTTCAAATGCTTTGCAGGTTCAAAGGCAGAGTTGAACAGTGGTAACTCAAGTGAAAACTCAAGTGGAAACACGAGACTGCCCTGGCCAGTGGGTGGTCCTCACAGCCTGCAGAACACCAGGGATGTTCTTTGTGGGGTGATGGGCTTCTGCTTTTGTGGGCTGATGAGGATCGTGTGCTAAATGTTCTACTGCTGAGCATTGCACAGTGTTCTCCCTCAGAGGTATGTGTTGGCATGCCAAAGGTGTGGTTGCAATCTATCATACTGGCTCATTCAAATTGTCTTAACATAATTAAAAAGCACAATTAAGCTCCAGGCTATGATGTTTGACGAACTCCTCAAGGTGTCTTTAAAGATATTAGTCTGCAGCATGCTAGTGTGGTGTTATATTAAAAACATTACAACATGCTGTCTGTTTGCCTAGCACAGGATTCCAGAAGCAGAGCAGTAGTTTCCATGCTTTAAAATGGAAGCATCTGAGGAGGATAATTGGGAGAGCTAGACAGTGTTGTCACTAGCACCACCCACTAACGCTGCTTCTCAAGTGAAAAAAATGCAAGCAGTAAAACAAAGTGGTAGATTGGGAACAGGACTTCTGTCTGCAGAAAGGCATTGCAAAGTTCACACAAATTGTCCAGTAAGTGTAAGAAATTATCTTTAAACTATTTTTGCCACTTTTAAACTCAATGTTTCTTTTTTTAAAAAAAATAGGCTACTATCTTCAAAGTTAATTATTAACCTCTGTTACTAGCACTGCTTCGAATGAGAAAATGTCATTCCTGGAATGTCTGATCTGTTATTGTGTTGAAGACAACAGGCAGCTGTCTTTGAAATTAAGGGACACAAACTGTCAGATTATAAACTGCGTGTGCATCCAAGTGTTCATGTCCTTCCTGTGCATTTCTGATGTGAATCATAGATTTGTATCTGTATATGCTGATGACAGTTAATTTGCATTACAGCAATATTCATAAAATAGTCAATAAGTGGGAATAACAGGGGGAAGAGGGAAAAGGAATGCACTCCTGTCTAGTTATTACTGAACTTTGGTGGATGTTTCTGCTCATGATCCAGAACTCTCTAGTGTAGAATCTTGGGGAGGCTGCAACCATATCTGCCCTCAGTACTCTATCAAAATGTAAAAGAAAGCAGTTGTTGCCAGAGCTTAGAATATGGCTATTGAGAAGTAAAAATAAAAACATATAATCTGAAAAAGAACAAAAGGTGTTGCAAGAAAATTAAAAGTTTGGGAGAAAAACAAAACAAGAAATCTCAAGTGTGCTCTACGCTACTTTGATCAAGCACGACTAGCATTTATTTCAAGTCCACACCATCATTCAGATGTTTTTGTACCATGGCAGGTTTAAGCCTTCAGTTCTCTCCTGAAACACTTGATGTTATATAAGATGTCATTTTAGAAAATATGAGACCGTGTTGGAAACCAATTTCCTGAAGAGCTAGGAACAGGGTCATATCGTTATCTAGTGTTATGCTTGCAGCTCTGGCAATTTTCTTTTTTAATAAATATGGATAAGTCCGTAGGACTCTAAAGGACAACAAATATTGTCCTTTATCTTGTGTCTGTATTTCAAAATTGTGGAAAAGATGCTATATACAAAAAGGGTCAGAAATCTTTTCGAAGACATAAAATGATACCAAGTCCCTGATCTAAAACATAAAAAGAGCCAAAGACACGATCACAGAGTTGTGTTGTGCGAGAGCTGAGCAGTGAAACACAAATCACCAGTTCTGACTAGGAAACGAAGCAGTTGCGTGGAAGTGATTTACCGTCGGACCCTCCGCAGGGCTCGCTGGCACCCGCACAGCACCGCGCTGAGCCAGGGCTGGAGCTGCTTCGCACCTCGGTGGTTTGGATCGCAGCCAGAAGAGCTCTGCTCCCTGCCCACAGTCTTGGCCAGACAAACCTGTAGAAGAATCAGCCGTACCAAACACAAGTCAAATGGGACCTGTAAGCATCCAGGCACGGATACTTTCAAGTACAGGTTACTAAATAAAGTGGAGAAGTGAATTTAGCCCATAACAAACCCCACAACACAAATCAAACCACTTTTATTTCTTTGAATTACTTTTGCCTTCTTTTTGCTAGATCAATCACAGATGTTCTTGCTTTAGCACCAGGGCTGGGCAAACCCGGATAAGCACGATAGCTGTTCTCTAAGAGCGGCCAGGTATGGAATACAAATCACCCAAAGCCAGAAAAAAAGCCTTTTTTCCCCTTCGCCGAGAGGCTTCTAAGAGAGAAGCTGATGGCGTTTAGTTTGAGATACCTCATCAGCCCCCTGGATGCTAGAAGTAGGCGAATCGTGACTGCAGCCCTTCCCCAGAAGAGAGCGGCTCCCTGGCCCCCACACCGGCGCCTCGCACCTCCCGACCGAGCCCCTCAGCCTCCCCGGGCCGGCCGGTGCCGCTGCAGCCCAACGCCGGCCACGGCCCGAACTGCCGCTCCCGGGGGCCACCCGAGCCCCCCAGCCACCACCCGCTACGCCTTCCCCCCTTCGGGCAGGGACCCTCCGCCTTCCCCCGCCCCAAGTGAGACCGGAGGGGAAACTCCGGGTGGGAGCGGTAGTGGTGGGACTATTCCCAGTTCCCTTCCCCCGCCGGCTGCAAAGTGGGGCGGGGGGCGGCGGGAAAGGAGTGGCGGGGAAGGGTAGGCGGCAACCCCCGGCGCTGGCAGCGCGGCGGGGCGGGAGGCGAGCGGGCGGGAGCTGCCGCTTTAAATCCGTCCCGTCCCGAGGGGCGGGGAAGGGGCCGCTGAGGGAGAGGGGGGGGGGGGACTCGGCGCGCGCGCGCGGCATCGCCCGGCGCGGCAGCGGAACCCCGGCGGGCGCGGGGCGGGGGCGGCGGCCCGGGGGCGGGGCGGCGTGAGGGGAGCGGCGGGCACGGGCTGCCCGTGCGGGAGCACGGCGGCGGCGGCGCGGCTGGAGGGGGTCCTGGCCCGGCTCCCCCGCTATGGCCACGTCCCCGTGCAGCAGCAGCGGCGTCTCCTCGTCGTCCTCGTCCGGGCTGGGCGCGGACGCGGGGCTGGAGATCCGCACGCGCTCCGTGGAGCAGACGCTGGTGCCGCTGGTGTCTCAGGTAGGAAAGCCGCCGCGGGAGAACGATTTCCCACCCGCTTCCCCCCGCAAGCTCCGGCAGGCTCTGCTCGGCCGCCGCCGAAGTTTGCGCGCCCGGGTCGCGGCGCTCCGTAGCCCCCTCTGTCCGGCCGCGCCGGTGCTCTGAGCCGCGCCCCCTCCCGCCCGTGTCGCGGTCCCGCCGGCGGCTGCCGGAGCCGGAGCCGTGTGGGTGATGCTGCTCGCGCGTCCGTCCCCGAGGAAGACTCCGAAGTTCCCCGCAAGGTCGCGGGGGAGCGTTGCGTAACGCCGGGCGCTGCGGTGCCGCCGGCGGTCCGAGCCCCGGACGGAGGCACTGCCCCGCCGCCCCAGCGCTCCCGGCCGCCCGCGTGGGAGCGCGCTCCGTCCCTCCCGGCTCGGCGCCGGAGAGCGCTCCTCTTGCAGGGGCTTTGGCGGAGCTTTGTGTTTTCGCGGTCTGGCCCGAGCGGTGCATTGATTGGAGCTCCTGCTGCACCCCGGGGTAGTGCCCGGTTTTTAAGAGGCTCAATAATAGGCAAACTGTCTTGGTGACCTATTAGCACGTCCCGCACTGTGCTAAATGACCTTAAAACCCACCCAAATCGGGTTTTTCATTGCTCTGCTAAGTAATTACATGGCAGTCACTTTGGCGTTGGGGTTTTTTGTTATTGTTGCTGTTGGGGTTTTTTTTCAGACATCTAGTTACAAAATTGGCACTTAACAGACTCATTAGAATTTTGTTTCTTGAAAAATAATGTCTGAAAACATCACAGTGTTTGCTGTGTAGGATTTTGGTGCTTTGAGCTCTGATCAATAAAGTTAGCAAGTCAAAACCTATCTGTACAAAATCCTTAAACAAGATGTAACAGCTATACAAAAATAACTAGTCCTGGTGAGGTCAAATTGTGTTTATATCCTCATAATCTATCTGGAAACAAGCTGTGGTAAGCCTTGTTTTGCATTTCTGTGTCTGGGCTGCAGGGAGGGTTTCTGATGGGTAATTGTGTTTCTGCACCCATCATGGTAATGTGTGGGGGTTTTTCTGTTTGGAGATGTCACAGTCAGTACAGCAAAGCCTTTCAAAGGGATTGAACTTTTTCCAAGGCAAAGTAAAATTAAATTGATTTTCTAGTCCTGAAAGAACCGAGATAAAATAGGGAGACCTCTTTTAGGAAGCTTAAGAACAGTCAGAAACACATCCAGTTGCAAAAGCTGAATTTAGTTGCATATGTTAAATTTGTACTTTTAACAGACTTACGCGAAGATGTTCTTATTTCTCCGGAGTACTGTTTAACAACAGTGATCTTATTGCCTTTGCAACGAAAGGGAAGTGTGTCATGTAGGATTTTTCATTGTCCCCAAAGCCTGTGACAACATCTTCCAGAAGGGCTAAGCAGTTTTCACTTCCCTGTGTGCCGGGTGTCTGAGCATTTGGGAACACTCAGAGCTCGCTGTTTTCCTGCCCAGGCGCTCCGGACGCGAGACGAGTGTGTTCCTTGAAGCACGGGCGCGGAGCTCTGCTCAGATTCAGGCTGAAGTTGCTGATGGTGTCAGCAGTAGCTCCCTACACCTGCCTGGTAAAATGCCCCACTTACTGTAGTGCTTTATCAGTTCTGCCTGTGCCTTTCCATCTGGATTGCTCAGCGGAGATCTCACTGGTAGGCTTTGTTCGGAAATTTATGCAAATGGTGTTTATAGAGTACTTCTTAGTCTCAGAATTTGCTTGTAGTTTCTGCATAAGCTGTGCATGCAGTAACCCCCAGGACTTTGTTTTTCTGCTTGTACAGAATGCACTTGCAAAGGGCTTTGTTCCTACTGTGAAGTTAACTTCACAGTTTACCCTTTTGTGAAAATCTGAGAAGCGCTATGTGATACTTGTATACTACTGAAAAAATAGTCAGAATGTTCCTGCTGCTTTTCACTACTTATTTTAAGCAAAGAAGAAACAAAAGGTGCCTTGTCTGACAAACTCACTTTCAATCTCTCATGTAGGGCTAAATCTTTTCTTTAAGCAAAAAAAAAAAAAAAAAAAGCTGCATTGATTCTTATTTAAATTCATGTACTGTATTGTACATAGTTGTAATATTGTAAACATGTGTTTGCCTGCTTGTTTTTCCTCAGCAATTGTGAGGGTTGGTTTTTTTTTTTTTTTTTAATTGCATTTTGCAGCTTGGTTTTTTTTCCTTATGTTATAGCGGAGTATATACCACATATATATACCAAATTTTGTACCACATTTGCTATCTGCAGTGGTACAAAATTCCTATAAATTACCCTTAGAGTTATTACTGCATGTACTTATTAAACCAATTAAAAATGCTTTTTAAACTTAGATTATTTACAGAGTTAAAGTAGATCTGTTCAGACCTTGATGTGGCCCATTTTTAAGAGTGCCACAGATGACAAAGATGACAAATTTAAGCCACAGTATTAAGCATTTTTGCTAACACTTCTTTTTCACTGTCTACATAGCTGATTGGTGAAAAGAATCATTGTACAGTATTTTGCAAAGCATGTGGCATGCAGTTCAGAAAACATGGCTTCTGGGCTGAAGCACCACAATTTTCTTTAAAATAAGCAGTATTTTCTTCACTGGGATAGGTGTCTTTAGTTCAGTTTTCCATGCATAAATACTATGGCATCCTTTAAAAGTCTAGACATCCTCCTTCACTGCTGCTACCCATTTCCAGTCTAATTATTTTGGGGTTCATTCTTTTAATGGGAAGTTTTTGGCAACTCACGTCAAGAAGGGTGTTTGAAGTGGTCAGTGCTGACTCATTTAATAACAAGTCATTTAAGCAGTTGAGGAAAAGCAAAGACAGGGAAAAAGCGCTTTTCAGGATGTGGCTCCACCAGTGGCTTCCGCAGCTGCCATGCTGTACCTGTTTGCTGATATGGGAGCAGTCGGGTACCTTGACAGCTGTAGGAATTTGTCTGTCTAGATCTGTTCTAGGGAAACACTCCGAAAAACAGCAGAATGGGTATTTGTTAAACTTCACAGTCAGGTACTTGGGAAAAAGAGGGAAAATTTGAGGTCTGTCTGTCTGGAGAAGGCTCAGGAGAGACCTATTGCAGCCTTCTAGTAGCTAAAGAGGACCTCTGCAAGAAAGCTGGAGAGGGATTTTCTTGCCAAGGTGTGTAGTGATAGAGCAAGGGCAAATGGCTTTAAGCTGAAAGTAAATATGTTTGGATTAGATGTTAGGAAGAAATTCTTCTCTGTGAGGGTCGTGAGGCACTGCAGTGCGTTGTCCAGAGATGCTGTGGGTGCCTCATCCGTGGAGGTGTTCAAGACCAGATTGGATGGGCCTCTGGGCAACCTGATCTAGTGGAAGGTATCCCAGCCCTTGGCAGAGCAGGAGTGGGACTAGATGACCTTTCCCCTGCGTCCCAACTCATCCTGTACTTCTGTATTTCCAAAAGAACCAAGTCACTTTTCACAGTGGCAGGTGACCTATCCTCCAGCAGCTGGAGCGCAGACCAATGTGACTACAGCTGCTCAACTTCCAGAAAGCCCATTTTGTCATGGGCTCTTTGGAGAATGACTGTGTGCCCAAATGTTACTGAACATGTAACAATGGTTACATGTTCAGTAACATATGTTTTACTGAACATGTAACATGGTTCCAATGTTTTTTCAATTTTCTTGGTATAGGAGATCCTGCCAGAGGTTTTGGAATTGACTTGACCTATATAGTAAAAAATATAAGCTTCTAAGTTTTTCTTTATTTTAGCTACAAAAAGCCTATGATACCAATGCTTCTGAATGCTGTTGTTGTCAGTCTTAGATTCTATGTGAGTTAACAGTGCCTTTAGGTGAACGAAACAAACCTGTTCTTTACTGTCTTATTGTTTCCATGCTTTCTCTGAAGCTAGCTAAAATAATTCTCATTTCAGTAAATGTTATATAACGTTATGTAATTTTCTGCCAGTGTTCTGTTTTTCCAGAAGTTTCTGGAGTTGTATATTAAACCCCAAAGAACCCACAGCTGAAGTTTTCCTAATAATCTGAGAAGCTCACTGATGCAGTTTTCAGACTGAAGGTATGACTTTAGAATAGTTATTGTGCATCAAGCTAGAGGTCTGTATATAATCTGTAAACTTCTCTCTGGCTTTTTTTTTTTGGTTAATTATGATCTGAATGTTGGGGTGAGCATAGACCAGAACGTTCCACAGGCATGTCATCTTCCCTACAGCAAGTTGGGGAGTGTCTGACACTGTGGATAGCAGGGCAGCTTGACAGAGGGACAGGCTGGAAAAATTATATGACAGGAAGTTTGTGAAGTCCAAGTCATACAGCTGAGTCAGGGTAACACCATGCAGCAGTGCAGGCTGGGATCAGCTGTCCTCAGGAAAACTTTGCATGGGAATCCTGGAGGACAAGTTAAATGGGGGTCAGCAGTGATGGCCAGCTGCACCTGAGGTTGTTGGCATGAACATAAAAAGCAGAGTGCAGAAGTGATTCTTTTTTTGTATGGCACTTGTGAGGCAGCATGGGGTACAGTACCATGCTGAGTTCTGTGCTCCAGAGAAAACACTGACATAGTGAAGTATGTGACATAGGCGGGGTGCTTGAAGGAAGTGGGCTTGTTCCACCTCAAGAAGAGAGGTGTAGTGGTCTGTTAGATTTCTTATAGAAAGCCAAGATGGTACTTTCCTCTCTGTATCACTTGAATCTGCAGTGGGTTTTTTTGGATTTTTTTGTGTCTTGTCAAGGGCAGAGTTTACTGCAGTCTACAGCTATCCACCTAATGGCAGGTATGGAGAAGACAGAGACGGACAGATCCCAGATGTGTGGTGACAGAAATTGGAACATTGGAAACTAATGAGATATAAGAGAAGGCTTTTATCAGTGTAAGGGAGGCCAAACACTGGATGGGGTGTGCAGAGCTCCTACAGAGTCTGCAATTTTGGAGATGTTCAGAATGGAGTGTGCTGTTTATAATGCTATAAACAGCACACTCCAACTAGACATGGTTTGAGCAAGGAACTAGAGTAGATGATCCTGGA